GCTCCGATGCTGCTTGGCCTGCTGTGTTCATCCAGCTCTACGTCTTCTTATTCAAGATCATTTTTTCATACAGGCAATATTAAAGACTGCACAAAATAAGTGAAAAATATGATATGCTGAAAAATAATTCATTATTTTTGCAGTTTCTTTCTCCGATTTGTTATGAAAAATTTACGTCTCTTTCTCTCATTTAGTTCTTGCAAATTTATTTGGAGCTTTCAAATTCCATGGATGATGACATTAGTTTAGGCAAAACCTATGAAGCTCTCGCTAAGGCTTTGATAAGGTAAGATGGAATTTGTCACTGAGAATTCAATCAGCTGTGAAAAACTAAATTGTTAGAGGTATGTTGCCAAGCTTTACAACATACTTACATTAGAAGTATTGGCCTTCTTGAATGACCCTTGCATGAAAGTTATCCAATTATTTGCTCAGCAGAGTTCAAAGATGGCATGAAGTATAGGCAAATATTAGATATTTTATCTTAGTAAAGATCTAGCTGATATGTTTTTCCAACCAATATATTATTTTATATTTAAAGTTACAGACTGAGTATTTCAAACTCTTAAGAGATTTTAGATTTTGATTTCAGTTTTAGAAACGCACATATTATTGCTCAAAATTATTTTTCATGAGCTTAACATTCTGTCTGTTCATTTTTTTTGGTCAGTCTGATATGATTAAGTTTTTTCCCACTGGGGAAAGTGCTTTTTTTTTGCTTACAAGTGTTTCTACAGTATTTTAACTGAACCATTATACAGATTGCATTTATATTAAAGGCAATTCAACAGTCCAGTAAGCATCACAATTTATCAAATTAAACTGGTTCTTTCTGAGATGAAATTTTGGAAATGGCCATGGCGAAAAAATTAATTGAAAGTGTTTACATTAATTCATGAAATGAAGAAAGTCGTTTAAATTTCCACCTGTCACCAGGCCCATTTTCTTCTTGCTAAAAGCTCTGGTCTTTAAACTTGGTGGCACAATTGGCAACCCCCCAGAGTGACTGTTCTCATCTCTGCTATATTTGATTTCTCCACACTGAACAAATGATTAAGTTTTCATGCATTGGTTCAGCCAAAATCTGTGTTCACTCAACCACATCCTTTATTGATTACTTCTACTGCAAACAGTAGGCTGTGTGTGATGTACATAATTGGACAGTTGTCAAGGGATGTGGGTGTTAAGAGTTCTAGTTCGCCAGCTGGAAATTGGAATCACCTTGATATACAAATAATATGTGCTAGCTCCTCTCAACCTTGAGACTCAGAAAGCATGTTTTCCTGGAAAATAAATTAACTTTTAAAGCCTCAAATCGAAGTTTCTTAAAGTATATCATATTTTTCTCAAATAAAATAAAAACAATATTTCAATGCAAAATCTCTCCATGCTGCATGGCTAATCCAACTTTATTATTACTAATATTAAGCTTTTCTGCAAACTGCAGAAAAAACTGGATGAAGAATTAAGCCTAGGGAACATGAATTGCATATGATATACATGCTAGTTTGTGTGTGATATAGATGCAATTGGAAAAATGTTAGGATACCTGGTTCATTTTTCCAGATTCTGTGAGTAAGAAAAATAAGTAACCTCCTCATGAAATAAAAGACAGTTAGAAACATCATTTTACCTTAAATTCTGTTTAAATCCAAAACACAACAAATATATTTTTAGGTAAATATTTGTGCACTTCAACAGTTAAATTGAGGTCTTTGAATTTGTTCAAGTAGCAAAGATGCCATGGAGCATGCTACAGGCATTACCTTGGAGACTACTGTGAACAATGTTAATGCATGACAGCTTTCACTACTTGCAAATTCCTCTCTCCAGTTTCAATGGGAATGTTAACCTATTTAGTTTAAATGGTTCAAATTTCCACCAAAGTTACAGAATGTGAAAATTTGACATATGGTAAGCATTTATATAGTTGCATTAGCCAAAATACTTTCAATGTTGCTACTAGATGTGACAGAATGTACTACAAATGCAGATTGAAAGCAGAGACTGGGATTTGCTGTTATGCACTTTCAGTGGTAACAAACATCTGTTTATCATCTGCATGCGCCAATATTTCATGGCCAGGGTTCTTTGTGTTATTTGATTAACCTGTTGCAAGGTGAGGAGGAAGACGTTAGCAGTGATATGCCCTGGAAGTCTCAACAGCTGAAAAAGAAATTAAATAAAAATTTTATCCTGGATTTTCCAATAGCCAGACAGTTGTTATTCCATCATAGGCAGATGTTGCACATGGGGACCCAATGGAATCTCTGTCGTAGCATACTCTGAAGAAATTGCCAGGAAATTGAATTTTGTGCCAGCAGTTCCACTAGAAACAGAAATAGTGCAACTAGGTGCAAACAAGTATGCTACTCCTTCAAGCCTGCCATGCCAATCAATTGATAACGAGCTAATCATCCAACTTAGTAGGTTGTTCCTGTTTGTTCATACCCTTTGATTTCTTTAGCCCTAAGAACTATATCTGGCTACTTCTTGAAAACATTCAATGTTTTGGTCTCTGTGGTAGAGAATTCCACTGGCTCACCACTCGCTGGGTAAAGAAATGTCTCCTTATTTCAGTACCAAATGGCTTATCCTGTATCTTTAGACTGAACTTTGTTTCTGGACTTCCCACTCATTGGGAACATCCTTTCTTTGTTTACCTTTTCTAGTCCTATTAGAATTTTATTAGGTATCTATGAGCTCCCACCTCATTTTGCTAAACTCGTGTGTATAGCCCTAACTGATCCAGTCTCTCTTTATACATCAGTCTTGACATCCTGAGAATCAGTCCAGTCAGCCATTGTGGTATTTCCTCCATACACAGAACATCTTTCCTCAGATAAGGAGACCAAACCTGCACACAATACTCCAGGCGTGGTCTCACTAAGGCACTGTGCAAATGCAGCAAGATATCCCTGTTCCTGAACTCTAATTTTCTCACTATTAAGGCCAACATAACATCTGCATGCTTATTTTCAGCAACTGATGTTCAAGGACACCAAGGCCTGGTTGCACCTGTTCCTTTCCCAATCTATTGCCTTTCAGATAAAAGTCTGCCTTCCTGTATTTGCTACCAAACTTGATGACCTCATGTTTATCCACAATTTACTTCATCTGCCATGCATTTGCCCACTCACTCAACTTATCCAAATCATATGGAAGCATCTCTGCATTCTCCTCACAGTTCACCTTCCCACCCAATTTCGTGGTGTCAGCAAACTTGGAGATATTCCCTTATTTCCTTCATATAAATCATTAATATATATTAAGTGAAGGCAGTCAGTTTTTGTAGAGAAATGATGTTGGGAAAATTGATGGATTAAAGGCCAATAAATCCCCAGAGCTGAACACTAATCACTGCAGTACTCCACTAGTCAAAGATCCATTTATTCTCTGTCTCTTGACTGCCTATCATGTATATAAACTATTCCCAACCCATGCACTTTAATGTTACATCCAATCTCTTACATCTTATATTTCTTTACATGTTATATCTCTTATCAAAAGCCTTCTGAAAATCCAAGTAAACCATATCCTCTGGATTTCCCTCATCAACTTTACTGGATAAATCTTTGAAAAATTCCAGTAGATTTGTCAAGCATGATTTCCCTATCGTAAATTCATGCTGACCCTCTGATTCTTTCAATGTTTTCCAAGTGCCCTGCTACTGAATCTTTTATAATGCATTCTAGCACATTTCCTGTTACCAATGTCAGGCTAACTGGTCTATAATTCCCTGTTTTCTTTCTACTGCCCTTTTTAAATAGTAGGTTACATTAGCTGCTCTCCAATTCATGGGAACTGTTCCAATGTTTATAAAATCGTGGAAGGTGATCACCAATGCATCTGCTTTCTGAGGCCACTTCCTTAAGTACTCTGTTCAAAGTATTTGAGAAGATTTGTAGCTCAGATTGTAGACTTGCTTGCCAAGCCAGTGTGCTTATACCGTATACAGTGTTTTTAAAAGAAATGGATACCCAAAAAGCACAATCCACCGTTATCTCCGTAACAGACCACAAGAAGAAGACACAACACGGCAAAATGCACCAGTCCCAGACCATCCACAACCTCATCACTTCAGGTGACCTCCCACCCACAGCCTCCAACCTCATTGTTCCCCAACCCTACACCGCCCGTTTCTAGCTCCTTCCCAAAATCCACAAGCCTGACTGCCCTGGTCGACCCATTGTCTCTGCCTGCTCCTGCCCCACCGAGCTTATCTCCACTTATCTCGACTCCATTTTCTCCACCCTGGCCCAGGAACTCCCCACCTACATCCGTGACACCACCCACGCCCTCCACCTCCTCCAAAACTTCCGATTCCCTGGTCCACAACACCTCATCTTTACCATGGACGTCCAGTCCCTATATACTTGCATTCCCCATGCAGATGGCCTAAAGGCCCTCCGCTGCTTCCTGTCCCACAGGCCCGACCAGTCCCCCTCTAAAGACACCCTTATCCGCTTAGCTGAACTCGTCCTCACCCTTAACAACTCCTCCTTCAATTCCTCCCACTTCCTACAGATAAGGGGGTGGTCGTGGGTACCCGCATGGGCGCAAGCTATGCCTGCCTCTTTGTAGGATATGTGGAACAATCCCTCTTCCAAAGCTACACTGGTCCTATCCCCCACCTGTTCCTCTGTTACATCGATGACTGTGTCAGTGCCGCCTTGTGCTCCCACAAGGAGCTCGAACAGTTCATCCACTTCACTAACACCTTCCACCCCAACCTTAAGTTCACCTGGACCATCTCTGATACCTCTCTCTCCTTCCTAGACCTCTGTTTCCATCTCTGGCAACCACCTGGAAACCGATATCCATTTCAAGCCTACCGACTCCCATAGCTACCTAGAATACACCTCCTCTCACCCACCTTCCTGCAAAAATGTCATCCCCTATTCCCAATTCCTTCACCTCCGCCGCATCTGCTCCTGAGATGAGACATTCCACTCCTGGACATCCCAGACGTCCTCGTTTTTCAAGGACCGCAACTTCCCCTCCACAGTGGCCAAAAACACCCTCGACCACATCTCTGGCATTTCCCGCAACTCATCCCTCACACCCCCTCCACGCAATAATAACCAAAACAGAATCCCCTTGTACTCACGTATCACCCCATCAACCTCCAGATCCAATGCATCAGCCTCCGGCACTTCCACCACCTGCAATCTGATCCCACTACCAAAGACAATTTTCACTCCCCACCCTTATCCCCCTTCCGGAGGGACCACTCTCTCCGTGAATCCCTTGTCCGCTCCACACTCCCCACCAGCCCCACCACCCCTGG